GGCTTTGTAGGGGGAAGACGTACCAGTGCCTGATGCTCCGCAGACCATCAAACAGAACTGGATTCCCTTCTTCACGTTCTTCTTTCTGCGCATCATCTTCTGTAGTATAGAGTGTGGTCAGTAAGGTGGAATCTTGAGGGATGCAGATGCATTGGGGCCATGATGGCTTCGTGGAGTCGGGAGAGGAATTGTTGAATGGGGGCCGGATTGGTGTAGTAGGGGGAGACTGAGAGAAGCGGGCAAACATACGACGGTTGTTGAAAGTAAGGCTTAGTCTAGAAGAGGGTCGGTAAGGGAGTTGTTGAGGGAATCAACGACTTGACGAGAGAAGAATGGCGACGATATCGTTTCAAGGGACAGCGAGCGTCGTGTCGTGTCGTAGATGAACGGAGCAAAAGGACTGCTGGATCCCAAATGTCGTTGTTCTGGATTGGGACCTGGGGGTCGGACGGGAGGTGCAGGTGCTAAAGGGGACGGGAGGGTCTTGACCGACGGGTGTTGGAAAATGCAATTTCACACAAAATGTTGCGGCAGGACGACCCCAAGAGGCCCCCCAGCCAATTGATTGCTTCCTCCTGCACGCCCAATTCAGGGGGGGAGCAACTCCCCGGCCCACGCTCCTTTCCGCCAAAATTAACGCTAAGCCCGTAGAGGAAAGGCACCAATAGCGGGGTATCCTCGGGCAATTTTGGAAGAGAGAGAGGAATCAGGATGACAGGTCACGAGACTGGCACATGGTCAGTGCTGAAGCTTTCCCGCCTGCAGCAATTGCGGCACGCACGTTGGATGTTGGCGCGTTTGCACCGTGTGTCCAAGGGACCAAACATGTTTCGCGTTCCTGTACGGAGTACCTACCTGTGGTGCATTACCTAAGGCCAGGTGGCACCCAGCTGGACAGACGTGGCAGGTGCCTCGATCACACTCCCCTTACAATTATCACTGTTATCCTGAGAACTAAGTATGTTGGTGAAATAAGGTACTTTCAGTCTTTCTTCCCCCAGAGAAAATATCCAAAGAAGGTGCTAGAAAGACTTGCAACACGAGGGATGGTGGTAGAAGAAGAAGGAGAAGAAGAATAGGTAAAGGTGAAGGTTGTGATAGTGATAGAAGCAGAGATTAACCAAGTGTTGAGCGGCAAACTCTTCTGTCGCTCATTTCATCCCAAGTTCCCGTCTCTCACTGAGTTATGATGCTTACCTAATATCGCTAGAGGCACCTTGGTACCCCAATAATACGTAGGTGACTTCCTGGGCACCTCGCCAGTGGACAGTCGGGTTGGTTGATGCGCCGCTTGAGACGGGACGATACGATACGTACCTTTTCTCAGTTCCAATGTCCCCAGGCTGACTTCACCTGGGTTACTGTCTGCTGAGACACTGTCCACGAGGTCCTCTTTATGAGCATCTTTCCTTTTGAATACCGCGATCCGGTCGCCGTTCGCTCTGAATAATCGCTGGGGGCTGTTTGTCGACTGCATACACTTGCCAATCCCCCCTGCCAACTTACTTACCTTGCCCCAGCTTCCTGACTCGGCAATCCAGCTGACTTCGACCCGCTCAACTCACTGCCGCTGTTACTAGGCGCTTCAACCCGTTGCCGTCTGTCAACATCATCGTCAATATCGTCAGCAGAGCACCTCTCTATTTGAGAGATGCATTTGTCAAGGATGATATCGTAACGAAGAACTTCAAGAACAACAGAATATTGGCCTGGCTTGCCAGCCTTGCATCCGCAGCGCTCATCCCTTATTACCGAGCCCCTCACCGTCGTCCAGGCCAAACCGTCACATACTCGGCACTGCGACTTATAGGCACCCTCTTCCACAATGAATACTCGTCCACCTATAGAGACGGCGCCCTCGACAGTCGTGCTTTCTGTTTCCTTCAACAGTGATGCCAGCTGCTTCTCGGTTGGTCTGAACTCAGGAATATGCAGTAAGTTGTTGTAGGAGTCGAGATGTGAACACTTAAGCTATTCATGATCCCTGACATCCGGTACCTAGTCTTCCACACCAAGTCTTGCCTTCTCAAGGCATCTAGAGGTTTGCGCTTCCTCCCTTGTAACCTTACATAAAGAAAAGCGGCTAACCGCATTATAGACTTCAATGCCGGTATCGGTCTGGTCGAGATGATGGGGACCACAAATTACCTGGCGCTCGTCGGCGGCGGTAGACAACCCAAGTTCAGTAGCACCAAGGTATGTGTTGATTCATTCAGTCCTCTATGGGATCGCAAACTCATCTACCGCGCAGACCATTATCTGGGACGACATGAAGGGTAGAGTCGCCATAGAGATCGCCTCTCTTACACCAGTGCGGGGCGTCCGGATCGGTCGAAACCGTATCGTCGTAGCGCTCCAGAACAGTGTACGCGTTTACTCGTTTGCGAAGCCTCCCGACCTGCTGTCAGTGTACGAAACCACCAACAACCCTCTCGGACTCGTTGCCATGTCAGACAAGACTATTGCATTCCCGGGTAGAACTGTCGGGCAGATACAGCTCGTCGACATCGGGACCGGCAACGTCAGCATCATCCCCGCTCACTCATCTGCCCTCCGTGCCATTCAGGTAAGCTCAGACGGCGAGCTTCTGGCCACAGCGAGCGAGATGGGCACTCTGATCAGAGTCTTCGCCACAAGTAATTGTGCCCGGCTCGCCGAGTTGAGACGGGGCGTTGATCCTGCCACCATCTTCTCTCTCGGCTTCAGCCCCGAGGGTACGAAGCTAGCCTGCACATCAGATAAGTCGACACTGCACGTGTTCGACGTCCCGCACCCGAAAAAGCCCATGACAGCACCGACCAGCCCTTCAGCGTCACAGATGGCGGGATCCGGCATTCTCGCGGGTAGACCAGCCGACGATGGCAAGGGCCGCTGGGGCTTCCTAGGCAAGATCCCCTTGATGCCGCGGATGTTCTCGGACGTATACTCTTTCGCATCCGCGCCATTCGAAGCAGGCGACGATCCCCTAATCGGCGGCCTGCCCATGTCAGAACAGACGACACTAGGAACGACAAGGCCGCAGAAAGGCGTGATCGGATGGATTACCGAGGACAGTCTGGTGGTGATTGGCGCCGGACATGATGCCAGATGGGAGAAGTTTGTGATATCCAAAGGAGAGGACGGACGCCGATACGTCGTTCGAGAGGGTTGGAAGCGATACTTGGGTAGCGCTTCATGACGAGGTGTTTCTCAAGCTGGCTCGTTGGGGTCATGTTGCTATTTGGTTTATGGTACAGTGTACATTACATACGGCGTTGGCATCGGACAAACAAGGCATTCAAGGGTATCAGCGATAGCATCGCTTAGTTTGTTATTAAGTGTTTATGGCATCTTCGAGACTAAGGTGACTTGCTCCTAGTTCTACTTCGCCTTGTATGCCGCCGCTCATCATCACGGTCTCTATGTCTTTTGGGCTGGCGTTCGTCCGAGCCATCGCGGTCACGATGCCTGCGCTCTCTTCTCCTCTCGCCGTCCTCGCCTCGATCACGGTCCCGATCTCGATCACGTCTATCTCTCGACCGGTCTCTCTCTCTCCGACTCCCATCATCCCTTTTCGATCCCCTATCCCGATCTTCGCCACGATGCCCGTGGCGTCGCGAACTCCTCTCGCCATCTCTGCGGTCTCTGTCGTCTGAAGTATCATCACGACGAGACCTCCGGCTGCGATGCCTATCCTCGTCACGATCCGCATCCCTCATCTCCTCATCGCTGTCGTGCCTACGCGACCTGTGTGAACGATGATGATGCTTGTGCTTCTTCCTCCTCTCAGACTTGTCATCTCGCCGCCGCAGCGCTTCCTTGATCTCTTCCTTCTTCTCCTCGATCAAGAAAGCCTTCATGGGGTCGTCCTCGTCATGGTCCCGAATCAGTAGCGCAAGTTCCCTCTCCTCAGGCAACATCGGCCGTTGCTCCTCCTCTTCGTCCTCGTCTGACCCCTCGTCCGTCTTGTCGCCCCCTTCCTGCTTCACGACCGTCGCCCAGTCCACCTTGCCCTCGTCCGGGTCCTCGTCGTCGCGGAACTTATAGCGTGCGTGGTCTACGCTGATCATGCGGCTGCCGCCGATCGTCGCGCCGCCGAGGTTATCGACCGCCAGGTCGGTACTGCGCTGGTCCTCGTACTTGAGCCAGCCGAAGCCTTTCGATTTGCCCGTCTCTTTGTCGCGGGCGAGCTTGAGCCAGACGGGCTCGCCGAATTGAGAGAAGATTGTGATCACATCGCCTTCGGACATTTCGTAGGGGAGCCCGCCAAAGTAGATGTACGCCGTGTCGCGGTAGTCGACGTGCCAGGAGCCTTCGGGGGAGCTGTTGGTGTGTCAGCGCATGGTTCTTGATCTGCATGCGAGATGCCTGGTATGACTTACATTCCATGTTCAATCTCCTTTTTGTTGAGCTCCTGAATGGCGCGAATTTTGTTCATGGTCGCGACGGGGAACTCAAGGTTCTCTGAAGCTTTTTGCAATCGTCAATTTCGTGGCAGACGTCTAGGAGTGTAGTAAAGCCTCGATTCTTCAAGGCTGAAAGAAGCGTCGTCCCAAGCTTTCTTAGAGCTTCTCGGCCCCAAAAGAAAAAAACACCGATGCCTAGACTTTCCTTAGGTGGTCGCGTAGCACTGTCAGTGCGTCATCTCCCCCAATATGCGCTCCAGCCCCCAAGACAACCCCTAAAATGACACTTCGCTAGCTGCCCGCGTGCTGCAATGTCACTGCCTGCACTTTAGCTCCCGTCGGGAAAACAGCCGGTCCGGAGCTCAAATCCCCCGACACTTTGAGGAAGGGGCATGAGAAAGCGCTGGCGAGGTGCCAATAGAATTGTGGAAGACACGGCCGTCCGTTCAAGTTGAGAACCCCAGCTTCTGGGAATGCCATCATTGCTTCGGTCGGAGGAGTCTGATTTCCTGTATATTCTAGATCGACCGTCGGTACGAACCCGTATAATTTAGCATACTGGTCGGCCTACCTACACCGCGACTCGAACGCGTCTATTTGCATACGCATAAAGCTGTCCACTGTCAACCCACCGACTCAAGTTCTTGGACCGAGACACCACGTCCACAGACCCACGATTTCCACCCAAACCCCTCTCATGCGTCCTCCTCAGCGACAAACACAATCATGACGGCAAGCGCAAATCGGGTGTCGACGTACACCTCGGCTTCCACAGGGTCAGACGGCCGCAATGGAGAGAAGAAGGACCTCTGGAGCTCCATGCTCGACAACGTAGCCAGCAGCAAACGGCTACCGGAGAAGAACATGATCGTACTGGGAGGCTCACCAGAGTCGCAAAAGGAATTTGTCGAGTCCCTGTCACACAGCAGCGAGAAGCGAAGTCTGGATCGCAACAGTTCAAAGACGCCTCCCATTGCAAACAGCTTCGCTCTCGGGTATACCTACTACGACGTCCTGGATGCCGACCAAGAAGGTTCGTTGTCAGCGCGACTCGGCTTCTGCTGCTGATGCTGACTCCGTCTCTAGACATACTTGCGCGGATTTCTCTCTACATGCTTTCGAACCCCTCAGAATCGTTCCCGAAACTTATTCAGCCCCTAATTACGCCCGAGACGATACCGAATACCCTAATGGTGGTGCTCCTTGACTGGTCTACACCACACTTGTGGATGCGCCAACTGAGAGAATGGATCTTGTTCATGCGCAGCATCCTCGAGAGCTCAAGCCACGAGTGTCAAGCGACGATGGAGGAGGTGATGGTCGCATGGCGGGATAGGGGCAGGGGAGGTGGCTCGACGAACCTTGACGGCACGGGAGCGACCACTAGCGAAGGCGATGTCGCACTGCCTCTTGGGCCTGGTGAATGGGAAGAAGGCATAGGTCTGCCGCTCTGCGTGGTCTGCCAGAACGTGAGATCAAGTGCCATGCCGAAAGGTTGATCGTATGCATGCTAACGAACTTGCAGGCGGAGAAGATGGAGGGTCTGGAGAAGACGCAAGGGTGGAAGGAAGGTGACTTCGACCAGGTTCTGCAGTATCTCAGGACAGTGCTGCTGAGGCGTGAGTTGGCGCCCTCTCCGAGGCCGAGGGCCATGCTAACAGTGTTGTCCCAGACGGCGCCTCGCTCATTTACACCACACCAAACGTCCCTTCGTCATTACCGAGTCTGGTGCACTCGAGTCTGGGCATCACCTCCTTACTAAAACGACAACCGTTGAAGCACAACACAATTGACAGAGACAAAATCCTGGTGCCGCCAAACTGGGACTCCTGGGGCAAGATCCGCGTGCTGAGGGATGGATTCGATGTCGAGGCGACCAGCCAGGGCTGGTCGCATGACCTGCAGTCCACTTTCCCTTCGCCTGCGATGACGACGGACGGCCTGAGTATTTTGGCCAAGGCGAAGGCAGATGGGGACTACAATGGCGAAGTTTCGTCCTCAGCAGTGGCGCCGTTCGAAGACTGGATCCGTGATCTCAGCCAAGCCGGCAGCGCGATCTCATTCGCAGGTCGGGACGGCGACCCGTCGCAGCTGGAGATGTCATCGACCGATACGCAAGAGTTCCTCGGTTCCAGTCTACAGACTCTGGAAACGCACCGCAGCCGAAGTAACGACGACAAGAAGGCAGACGCCTCTAAGTCGAGAACAGGACAGCGGACCGATGAGTCGGATTCCAGTGCGTTGCGGCAGGGAGCCGACGACGGCAAGGTCAGCCAGCACATTGGGCCTGTGCAGTTTAACATGGGAGGCATCCAGGTGGATGCCGACGACATGGTGCAGCGGCTTAAGGTATGTCGCTAAGTCGATCTCAATAAGGGAGCGGCCTTGACTAACACGGATCGCAGGACCGTCAGGCAAACAGTGCTACACAGGATCCCACCACGCCACCGGCTGACACCGCCGAGGAGAATCCTGATGAGATGGACAACGACAAGCTCCAAGCTTTCTTCAGCGGCTTGATGAACCGTAAACAACCTGCCAATGGCAGCCCCCGTGGCGGCTCGTGAGTGTGTTGATGTTTGGGTCCCTATTTTCATTACGGGGCCGAAGTCGATTTTAAACATGGCCAAGCGGTTGACTTATACCCAATCGGTCTTCTTTTCGGGGGACAAATGTTAAATTTGAAAGAGGGAGTTGATCGTATCTCATGGACATTGGTCACGAAAGAAAGCGACGAACGAAGGTGTGCTCCTGGCCTCAGTAGATGTATGTTGTGGGGTGGGGCGAGGTTGTGCGGACAAGGCGAGACAGTGGCGGCCGTTGGGCGAGATTCAGTCAGGTCAGCAATCAGTCAGTCAGTCGCTGTAGAATAGATACCCCGATTATGACAATGCTATGCGTTTGGTGTTAGTTTCAAGGAGTACAGGTCGACGACTATCGTGGCAGCGGAGCCGATTGCCTCTAAAGCTACCCTGGTACTCAGTGGCTGGGAGTATCCAATGGATTCCATTAGCACACAAGAAACGCTCGTTTGTGTAAGTTCTTCGGGTAAGCTACCTACAGGAGTAGGGGCGCTATAATCTGGCTTGTCAGGAGAAGGTTTTCAAGTCAACTTAAATATTTCCTGACCACGCTATCAAATCAGACAGGGGTTTAAGGATGTTTGGTCAAATCATGCTGAACTCGATACGAATAAACGCAAGTTGACTGAATATAATACACGTACACCTTCTAGATGTAGAACGGCATGTTTATTTGCCGATGAGCTAGCAACATCAACAAATTCCAAACCACCGCTGTCTCTCCTTTCTATCTTCTCCCACCTATTTCTCGCACCATCCGGTAGGCTGACCAAGAGCCTTGCACTTGGCAACGAACAAGGGCTCGTTGATGTCAATCATGATCTGGCACTTGGTAGGGTACGGGCCGCCTACACGCAAACAGGCCACGATTAGTATCTTCAACTTTGATCCATGTATGATTCCCGAGCGAACTGAGAAATTGAGGGATGGTATCTTGTATGTACGTACCAACGGTGCCGTAATCGGGGCAGGCGTTCTTGGTGGAGGTCGGGTCGCTAACGAGCGCGGAGCCGGTGTCTCTGCCGCAATAGCAGTTCTTGATGTCGTCGAGGCGCTTGGTGACGGTGTTGTCGGTGGGTGCGCCGTTGACGATTGCGGCGAGGCCCCTATGTTAGGTCCTGTTAGTGATTTGTCTAGGATGATGAGGGAAGTTTGGTGGTGGGAGGACGAACATGAGGGCGATGATGGCGTTGAAGGAGAACATTTTGAGTAGGATGGTTTGCGTAGAGGAACTTGAGGTGTTGTTGGGGTTTCTTGTGACTGGAAGAATAGCTTTCGAAGTTTCATAGGGACTACAGATGTCTTTATACTGCAGTATTGAGGATCAAGAGGTGATCTTCCCCATCTGTTGACAGTCTACAGAACATCTTCTTCAATAACCGATATCAAACCCCATAGCAATGCCCTAGTTCCTATTTCTCATAGCCATATTGCTTCCAATCCAAACGGGCGCTCATGACGTCCATCATCGGCTTGCCCGATGCGTATATTAGAGATGCATCTCGGTTGAGAATACATGCCATCGCTGTATTGCTATGCGGTATACGCTCACTGTCGCGAGTCACGATCACGAAAATTCCAACCAAGGGAGTTCCCGCACACCATGGCCCGGCTCCGCTTCCATTGAATCTCCTGAACTTTGATCAAATGAAAAATTGTCGATCCTATCATCCTACGGCTCGCTTTTTGACATGTCACAAGGATGATCCACAAAGTTGGGGAGCGGGAAAGAGTCATGTTAGCCAAGCCGAGTCGGCTCGATCCGATCAGGTATAGTTTGCAAGCGGAACATCATAGCAGCCTCGATGGGGGATTCGCAAAAGAGAACTTCAAGCTCGATGTCGATATCTGCTTGTTCAGAGCTACTTAGAATGTTGCAGATTGGGAAGCCTATAGCTTGCATATTGTGCGATCAACATTTGCTTTTGCGGTATACCCGCTGTCTGTGTACTGGCAGAACCGAGCGTCACTTTGAGTTTAGAATATATGGCCCGTATACTCAACGTGAATCGAAGCTCAACCTGATCTTCGGTTGACATCTGACAACTTTCCGTCTTGAACGAGTAAACAACGGATGTTTGAGCGGCGAAAGGAACGACCCGAACTCTAGGAACGCCGAGAAATCTAACGGCAAGGTTTCAAAATCATCGAAATATAATAGCCAGAGACTTTTCGCACTGGGGTTGTAAAATATAAGGGTATTCTCAATGTCGTCAAGAAGGTCACAATTCGACAGCAACTGATGTAAAAGGCTTCACCGAGTGCGTCCCACGGAAGAGCTGCGGTAATGTTCAAAAGCAATGGGATTTCCTGCTCAATGACTTCCTCTACAGTTAACAAATTGATCATTGAATTAGCCCGAGGTTCTGATACTCAAGTATGGACCGAGAGCATCCGGGTCGTATTGAGTAATATTTCGCAAACACCACGCGAAAGATTGCCTTCATCCGAAACTCCTGGAGCAGAAGTTCAAAACCTTGAGAGCAACCAGAATTAATTCGAAGTCGCTGTCGATAAACGATGACATAATTCGGACTTGGTAGTTTGTGGCCAAACTACGACTTAGGTTGGACAGACTTCGAGCCAGTCAGCATGGCTCTTATAAAGTAACAAGGTTATCAATATACAACACCCAACCATATTAAGAAAACCATGATGCTTCAGGATATCATATTTGTTATTGTGAAGCCTCTCGACTATTGTGTGTAGTCGGTAAGTCACTTGAGCAAGTGTCGTTAAGATATCCCACCGGCTTGGCCCATCGTATACTCCATCTTCATGTCTCGTCATATAATCGCCGAGCTTAATTATACTGTAGACTTGCATTTCAGTCGGAGGATGTTTCACAGAGCGATAGATTATACAAGTGGTGAAGCATATTTTCGACAATTCTTTTACATCTTGAACTAGGGGAAAGCGAATCATGTGATCTCAAAAGTAAGTAAACGGAAATGGGGCTTGCACGTCAAAGCCAGTCACCGAATGCCGCTTCGCTAAGCGGGCTATCACTTAGTCTCGCCTCTCAACATGCGCTCCAGCCTCAGCAGCAGGAACATCCGGTCCAGGCCCCTGAAGATGAGTCAGGGCAGCCTCCTGTACTGCCTGCTCGCCTTCCTTGCTATCTCTATTCGCCCCGTTGGTCTTCTGTCCCCCGCAACACGGAACAATTACACTCGTCTTGTTCTTGTTGGTGGGCATATCGAGCGCCGGGTTCGAGGTGAAGAAGTCTGCTGGTCGGATGGTGAGATGGTGTATCTCGACGGGCCTGTTGGTGAACGCCAGTCAGTTGATGGTCTTATATAAGATCCTGGGTAAAGAGAGTGATGAAAGTCAAACAAAAGGGAAAAGGACGGGACCAAAACAGCAAACAACTTACATCACAGGCCAATCCTCCACCCGAGGGTTGTGCGTCAACCCAAACACACTCCAGACGACAGGACTACTCTTCCTGCCCTCACCACCACCATTGCCATCCCCATTCGCCTCACGCTCGTTCTCAAACCAGTCCCCCCTCTGAACCATATCCCACACCCCACCAACCTCCTCCCGACTCTGGTTCGTATACTCCCCAGCCGCCCACAGCTCGTCATCGCGGTGCCCCGTAACCCAGACATGATGCCTCGCATACTTGGCCCGCTTCGACACCTGGCTCATCTCGTCCGCCAATAACAGCTGCGACGCAGACGGCGTAAGCTTGAACCCCACGTTCCTACCCGACATGGCATTCTTCTTCGTCCGGTTCTCAAATTTGATCACCCTGTTCAGTTTTGGCTCCGCATCGATCCAACTTGCCTTCTCGACAACCTGCTTCCGAATCTCGTAGTAGTTACCATACGGGTTCGTCTCCTTATTCAAAGGCACAGGTACGCTCTCCTCCACAACGACGCGCGTATCCCCCTCAGCGTACGAGTCCACCGCAGGATCAATCCTCACAGCAAAGATGTGCTGATGATTCTGCGCCAGCACGCCCGGCGCAACGACGGCGCCGTACGCAGACTCTTTCTTGCCCTCGTCCACCGCCACGACAGACATGATCCCCGTTGCCCGCGTCTCGAGCGTGATCCCGCCCGCCGTGTCGAGCTTGTACGCAAACACGTACTCGTAGTTGGCCAGCGTGACGACGCACTGCACAACGAGCTCCCGCAGCCTCGTGACCACGGCCCGGTTCGTGCGGAAGTTGGTGTGCTTCCACCCGATCCCGTTGTCCTGCTCGTGGAGACAGACCACGGCCTTCGCCACCGTCGGGTTCCCCTCCGTGTCGGCCATCAGGGCGTCAAAGTAGTGGATCGCGCCGAGGCAGTCGCAGCCGAGCTCGAGGTTATTGGCCACGCGGCCGAAGCCTCCGTCGCCGAGGTCAAAGGCCTGCTTGCGCTGATAGGGCGGACGAGGGTCGCCGTAGGGCACTGTCAGCTCACTGTAGCTTAGACGATACAACACGGGGCGGTTATCGTAGCAGAGATCGTGTAGTACCGCGCCCTCGCGGGGGGTGAAGCCGAGGCGGAACCGCCACTTTTGCCACTCGACGAGGTTGTCCGGCTGGATGGCAAAGGAGGCGCCCTCGGGCTGGGTGATGTTGATGGGCTTTAGGTCCTCGCGCTGCGGGATCTCGAGGAGCTCTGGGACGTACTCGGAGGAAATGTTGTTGGCGAAGAGGGACTTTGGTTCCGCAGCACGCGGTTGGGGGGCGAGGCCGTCGCCTGCAGCGCCGGTGGCGAGGCGGTCGACGCGGAGGATCTTGCGGGTGGCTATATCCATGACGGGGATGATCGGGATCGGGTAGGCGTAATGGTTCGAGTCGACGTTGTTCTTGGAGGCGTCGCGCGCGAAGACGAGGCCCTGCATCAGGCGGGCAATGTCCCCTTCGTCCTCGTCCGGACCACCATAAGGCCAGGGGTCGATTGTGACGGTAAAGTTCTCCGGGAGAGAGAACTCGGCCATGGCGTCTTTGAATATTTGAGATGCCACACAGGCGTCTTGGAAGATTC